CCTCACTTTTATTGTCATCTTTTATCCTTAAGTTCAGACTACATTGGATTTATTGGCAATAGGTCTTGCCAGTGAATGGCACTTTCATTTTTGTTTTGCATACTTTATTATCATGGAATAAGCTATATCCATACCAAATTTCATTTATTTATCTTCAGTATTTTTTGAAATATTTGGGAAAATGTCTTCCATCTCTTAATTTTGTCGACCAGTGCACTTAATACTTTTAATTATTATTACCTTATTAGACTAAGCAAAGCATGTTTCTAGAAGTTCAACTTATTGAAATAAAGCTTAACTTATTGAAATATATACAGCACTGAATTCAGTACCAAAATCGACGATACTAATAGCGACAAACACATGATAGTAGTGTTTTCACCCTCAAACGCTCTCCAGAGCAAAATGAAAATGTGGCTTATCATTAAATTGTTCCAAGTAATTATTTCATTAAAGAATGCTACAGATTTGGAAACTGCTGTTCGACTCTATCGATCCTATAAGAAATGGTTTGGACAAGTTTTTATTTATTTATTTTATTTTATGCATATTTTACTTTATTTAAATAGATTTAGAATAATTAATAAAGCCTTGTGTCCGGTGCATTATGTTTCGCCTGGATCCACAAGCCCACCAACCCATTAAAAATAGACATTTATCAATCAGCATTTATAGGAGTTATTAAATTAAATCACCCTCAAGCGTATACCAACAGTTTATTTTAAATAAATGCGTTTTCTCCTGTGATATTATTAGAGAATTATGCGTGGTCAACAAACTTATAAAGCGTGAATTTAATCCTCAAAATTAATAAACAAACGGAAAGTTATTTTGTCTTTTTACGAGGTTAATAACCCAAACAATTATTCCGTGCGAATAGTAGATTTACTTTTCCCCCCGTAACACATTAAATAAATGCTTCTTCAGACTTTTAATTTTACTACATGTTTACTAAATGATGCTTAAATATGAGAAAATTTAATATTATATGAAATATTTGTAAGAAATTTTAATCAAATGACTTTAAAGTACAAAACAAATTTAAGAAAAAAAATTTGCAAGATTCAGCCATTTAAGTCTTTCTTTATTATTAAGATTGTTTATAATATACATTTCAAATTTATTTATTCACTTACCTTTAAATTGCTTTGACACTTTTATCAATGGATCAATCCATCGCTAAAAATGGTGGAGGAAAAAACAAACAATTTTATTATCATTTATTGTTGGACAAAGGCAATACATTTTAGTATGTTCATCATAAAATATCTATTTTACACACTATATCTGAATTCGCACATTTTGCAAGATATATGAATCTTGCGATTCTACTGAAATCTCTCAGTAAACGTGAACCATTTTGTATACTTTCTCTTTTTTTTACAGTAAAATTTAAAATTAAAACAGTTTTTTACTGTCATAACAAATTTGCTTATTTCAAAACCCAAAGTAGGTCATTTTTCTAATCAAACTGACTTACTAAATTAAATTTAGCTTTCATAACTTTACAATAAAGCTGTCTGTTAATCATTTATCGATTACTCCTTAAAGCCGTTTTCCTTAACCCCTTAACAATCGGTTAATTTTCAAGAAAACGGTCATAAAAGTGCCTATTTTGACAAAGACGCGTATTTGATTAGTGCTGACGTCTAGTTTAAAATAAACTAACTATGCAATTACCTTAAAAATGTCCTGATACTGCCATCTGGTGTGCAATATGAGAAATAAAATGTTTTCCGCGCAAAAGAAATGAATTAGTTTTATTCTTATTAGCATGTTACTACTGAACACTCCAGCCCGTAAATTTCACGGGAGCGAGAAATAGAGGGCGAAACCTCACCCCGTAATTTTCACGGGAGCGAGAAGGAAGGAGTTAAGTCTCCTTAGCCGTTGTCAGAACGTTTTCGAGACAGAAGCGCCAAAAATGATCTGTGTATTATTCTGTTGAAACTTTAAATTAAATTTGTGAACTGAAGTCAATTTAAACATATATTCAACTAAAACTTTTAATAATTTATTTATTTATGAAGAGCATCATATTACTGTTTGGAAGTTTGTTAAGGGTAAAACAGTTGGTTACTAACAAGATTTAGCATAAATTATCACGTTTTAAGTATTATATGTATTGAATAAACATAGACGGGAAAAGTGGGAGCAATTTCTTAGCTGCAAGTAAGAGACCTGTCGTCGACAACAGCTTCTACATCGCACGAAATAGTTGACATTTCTTTATACATGAGACATGCTTTTCCTAAAATACTTCTCGCTAGTTTTTTAACCATTTGAACCATTATCTCATAACACCAATTCCATTTATTATATTGTCAATACTTGACATAAAGTTTGATGTTCTTCCTTATATAAGACTTTGGTAACAATGTAGGGAGTTATAATTATTGACCATGCCAACCTTCATCTATCAAAAGGTACCTCCTGATAGAATCAAGTTAACATGTCTTATATACTAGTGAATTTGTATTTAATATTTATAATGGTAGTTACGCCACAACTACAAATGTTGCGAGACTCTACTCGAAAGTTTAATATTTTGTTGTTTGTTCTGTTCTTTTACTTATCTAAAATAAATATTCTGACTCCAATTTCAATAGAATAAAAAATAAAATAAAAACATTTTTATTTACATAAGTTGTTCGATCACATCATCAAGTTCTTTTTCTGTCGTCATAGCAACATTAACTCAAAAGCTTTAAAATAAATAAAATTAGACTAATTCTAGCCTATAGCTCACACACAATTAAATAATATATAAATGAAATGTATACTACTTTTAACAGATGGGGATATTTTTTTTAGAAAGTAAAAAAAAAAAAAAAGATAAACTTCAAAAAATGTAAGCAAACACCGTGGACAATTTTTCAAAGGCAACAAAATCAAATATTTTTGCGATTCAATTGTTAACCACACTATTTCTTTCGAATAACTTTAAGAAGAAATCTCTTTCATACTTCCCACAGGTATTAAATAATTTCTGCCCACTACCACATAAATTACATCTGTTCTGCGTGGGGAGTCCCTCCTTTACATTTTATTTTGGTTTAAATATCACTACTGACACGCCTTCATCATTGAAACTGCTGCAGATAAAAATGACTTTGAATAAATTATTCTAACATGCGCTACATTTTGTGAAAGCGAATTCAAATAAAAAATTCATCAGAAATTTTCACTAAAAAAGGCACTGATACACACACGGTCAAAAGATTATATATATATATATATATATAAAAAAAACTAACATAGCCCTGGTGTATGGGAATATTTAGAGTTTCAGTTACAGGGAAAACAAAGCTCCTAGTCCATGCCTTCTATTTTTCAATAGTGATGAAGATGTTTCATTATCATTATAGTACTGAAACATTCATAAATCTGTTTAGGTAACAATATTTGTGCCGCTTAAGCTAAGTTCAGAAATTTTTAAACGTAAAATTGATATAAATTCAGATTATTGCAAAAATCTACTAACAAGGAAGGGGCGATGGAACGAAATTATATTGAATATTAGTGTTCTCATTTACCAGTCCGTGGACAATATTTTCCAAAGAAAAATTACTTTATTCTTTATAATGAGTCTTGGTGTAGGNTATTAATGATATCCAATAATAATATGATTAAAAATAAATCCACGTTTTTTGGTAAATGTGATCAAATATGTGTATTAATCACATTAACCGGTTATTATTAATTATTTGCCAATGAACTTTGGCCAGTGTGTTTCAACTCAAACGTAATTATCACATGTCTATGTGCTGTCGTTGTAGAGATTAGTAGAGTTAAAAAATAAATAAAAGATTAAATGAAATACAAATTTTTACTTATGCTTTAATATAAAAAAATAGCTTTAAAAATTTAATTTTTCTTTTTTTTTTAATATAGCATTAAATCTATTCACTTACTTGGTCATTATACAAAATAACAGGCAATTAATAATATCAACCGATTAATTACATTGACCGTAACATATATATATATATAGCTGAAATAATTGTCATGTCAATAGATTTACCATGTCAAATTTACTTCCTGGATTTCGTCTGTTTCTTTAAAGAAATTAATGTGTTTTATGTTTAGATTAAAACCGACTTAGCTGAACACGGTGTAGCCAAAGGTCAGTGTTAAGAAAGATAAATGCAACGTTACGATAAAAATTGAAAATAAATTAAAAAGTGGTATAGATATTTCGTGAAAGCGTATCGGAATGAACCGATCGAGATGAAGATAAGTGAATCAGGATGAACGGGGTAATAATTTAAAAAAGAAAAAAAAAAAAAAAAAAATTTAAAAAAAAGAACTTTTTCTAAATGTTTGATAATTGTTTAGAAAAAAGGGTTTAAATTTGAGTCTTGTATTATTCTATTAGATCAGAAACACAAACGGAATAGGCAAATAATATTTCATTTTATATTATAGCCGTCGTTAAACAGCCGACTCTATTTTGAGTGTACGGCTACCCATCTTCAACTCCATAGCCGTGTAATTTTAAACCCAATCCAAAAGGCAATGGAACTCTCGGATTTAGTATTGGGTGTAAATTTGCCTTCTTAGAGAACTTTCTGATGGAAATAACCCCAATTTGCGTTACATGGAGAGGAAAACCATGAAAAACTTCAATGGTTATCCTTTCAGTAAGGATATTTTATAACCGTCGTTGAACAGCCGACCCAATTTTTATGTTCAACTCCGCAGCTTTGTAATTTTGAACCCAATCCAGAAGACAAGGGCACTCCTGGATCGAGTATTGGGAGAAATTTGCCTTTCGTGGAGGACTTTTTGATGGAGCTAACCCGCAACTGCGTTACATGGAGAGGAAGACCACAAGAACCTCCCACGGTTAGCCTAACGGCAAGGGGACTCTAACTCATGGTCCGTCTACCACTGACGATATTTCACATCAGCACTGTGGTGATGCGGAATTTGTATCGACTGGAATTCGAGCCCGGTTCTCTATCCCCTGAGCCATCGCGGCTATTCAGTAAGGGTATTCTAACTTATGATCCATTTACCACTAAGAATATTTTACGTCAGAATTATGGTCAGTGCGAGCCGGACGCAGAATTCTTATTGACCAGCCATTGCTGGATTTCGAACCTAGATAATCTTACTGGGAGGCGAGTCTCAGAAGAAAAAGACAGCGTATCAGGTGTTATTTATTTACTTTTTAATATTCAAGGTCTCACCAATCACCGAATTCGAAACAATGATACAATTTATGGTTATTTTTTTCTGCAAATATTTAAGAAAAAGAAGTGGTGTTAAATTGGGAAAATATTAAAAAAATGAAAATATAAGAACTTCCTTACCGATTCTCCACCTTTGTTGAGGTATCGAAGACCGAAATAAGCAGTTTCTATTAAATTTAGACGCTTGTACACTTTATCCAACAGTTCTTCTCCTTTAGTGGCACTCTATAACACAATAAATAAATAAATATATAAATATTTATAAAAATAAAAAAAATTAAAAAAAAAAATTATTTTTTTTTCGATGTATGCTTGAAAACAAACTTTTTACATACAGGAAAATGTATTTTAAGTGTTTTTTTTTTTTAAAATACAGAACAAGAAAAGAATATACGTTCAAAGGAACAAAATTTTATTTATTGATTTATTTTGTTTTCTAGTTCAGCAACAATATTTATGAGAAGAATAGCACGAAAAGAAAAATTCCCAAAGTTCTTGCAACCAAATAAATATGAAATTATCAATTAATTCTGTAAAAATTAACGCTAATCTTCGTTCCTTTTTTGGAACAAAAAAATTACAGTTAAAATGGTTGACTTTAATGCTTCTCGTATTTAAATTGCAACTAACACAACATAGTTGAACCGCAATGGGGCGTCATTGTGAAGGGCCAGGGTTTCATTCCCAGTGGCGACATGAAGCACGCGCAGTATCATATGGATGGGTACTACCTTTCCCCGCTGGGCATTGAGCCAGTGACATGGAGTAAGAATAACTTACTTGTTATTATTTGTTTTATGACCCGTGCTTCTTTGTACGTCATTGAAGGAATATAGTTAAGCCCCTGATTACTTTATTAAAAGGTTATCACGAAAATACCTGGATATTTTAACTCTATGGCCATAACAGTTTAACTTGATTCAAAGGACAAGATATCCGTAAATTTGAATTAAATAAGATTTTCGTGATGTTATTCTTCTTCTTCTTCAGCACGATAGCCCCCTTACAGGCCTTGGCTGCCTCAGCCACATGTAGCCTCCAACGCCTCCTGTCCATGGCGACTTTTTTCCAGTTGTTTTTCGTGGTGTTACGACATTAAAATAAAATAGGTCAAATGCGAGAATGAATTCAAATGATCTAAAAACAGTGCTAAATGATTTTTAATAATTGTCTTTTTAATAAAATAATACATATAGTACATAATTGTACGCGTGGGATGATTTGATTGCGTAACACCAAGCTGCAGGCATCAAAGGATTACAGTAACACAGTGGTCTACCGCAGAAACTTATGAGTTACTGTACCGTTTTTAAATTCTGTTATGGGCTACAGACCAAAAGAAGTATCAAAATTGACTGTACACCCTATTTGTCAGATCAGCGGAGGAATCAATGTTAATACGATCTACTGAAAATGTCTTCGCCAGCTACAAACAGTTCGCGATTGGCGGTTTGGCGATTACAACATTAGCACATGCGCTAGGTAATAGCAAATTTTACCGGCATTTAGCAGTGTCAGTGACAAAATACCGTCATTCTTATAACATTCATTATTTACTGCAATATACAAATGAAGAATTTTCGCCGATTTTGGCTACTGGTGATTGACAGAAAAATGAGGAATTTTGTCAAAAGGATAGATTTATGTTGAAGTCCTTTTTTTCGCGTATATAATACTAGTTAAAAAATAAAAGAATTCCCGACGTACTTTCAATTAAATGAAGACACATGAGCAGCTGAACTTTAAACGTTGGATTAGCCGATCGTCAAATGTGGAAAGTAGCATTTGGACTCGAAGTTGGGCCTAGTAACTGACTGGGCCACAAATTTTGCGTTAGTCATTAATTCTACAAAGAATTAAAAAAAAGTATGGATACGACCAAATGTCTCGCGAAACAGAAAAAAAGTTGCAAATCAGAAAAGATGCATTCAATGATCGCGAAATTTATACATATTCAATGATAACACCTTTGCAGCAGTGTTTGGGCAACTCCCATGTGGGAGTGAATTGAATTAAATTTGTTTAATTGCCTCATTAGGTAGTTTTTTTTAAATATTTCAAAATATCAAAATTTCTGCTAATGACAAGCGTTTCTCGAAGTATCTCTGCTTTTAACGATTAGTTCGCAATTATAGCACCAAACACTAGACCAAAACGCAGAATTCTCCTGGTCAAATCGTAATACATTTTTTCCAGAGAATTTAAATATGCTATAGAAAATAGTGGTACTTATTTGGAATTTGATATCCCCCAAAGTAAATGTGACGTGCCAATTTGGAATAACTATGCATCTGAAGATAATTCACACGGTGTTTTGAGATTTTTTTTTTTTTTTTTTTTTTTTTTTTTTTTTTTTTTTTTNTCTAAGTGTATTTGAGCGTTTATTAACTTTTGAAACACCTCATACACTAATATTAAAAAAAAAAAAATTCTAATTTTTTATAAGATCTTAGATGTTTGTTATTTATATTACACTTTCAGTTTTTAATTTATTGCTCACTTTGTGGAAAACTCAATAATAAAGAAAGGCAGAAAAAACTATTTTTAAGAAGAAAAAAATTATTTCTCCGGCCCCTCGTAAAATTCGTATTTTTATTTTTATTTTAAGAAGTACAATTATATCGAAAATTCGATGAAAAATCTTTTTTTCTTCTTCTTTTTCATTTCGGAAATGATGGCAGGGGATGAGCGGAATCTAAAAAAGACAGCACGGTCTAGCAGACAGCGTGAGATACAGACAAACACATTGTCTTCTTCTATTTTACATTCGGCAGACACATTAATAGAAGACCACCATCAAAAGCGTGTTGTGGGTGTCTATAATAAAATGACGGGGTGTTAGCCAAGCGTTACGACACTCTTCAGATCTTATCTTCGGAAGATTCTTTTCATTTTATCCCTCTCCACCCCAGAAAATGGTCAAAGAAAGGACAATAGGTTTTAGCGGGGATCATTATTATTGTAAATCAAGAGAGAAAAAGTGGTATCTTCATATTTCGATGTTATAAAATATTTTTTCTTCCATTTTTATTGATTTAAAAAGTTGAGTGTCCATAGCTTTGTTCATTTAGACTACAAATTTAGAATCTTACTATTGGGCACCTGAACTTCAAGAAGAAGAAGATCATTGATACCCAGATATGTGAGCTATGACCTCAGCTCCAGCTGATCGTTTATAAACAAGATGGCATGTTAAAGTTGAGCTAAGTCTCTCCACACAAGCTCGAATGTTAAATAGCGTGAAAGTAATTAAATACAACGCCGCATCGCACATCTAATTTGTTAAAAAATAATTTCTCTTCTACGTCTTCTATTTAACTTAGATTTATTATTTGTTTATGTATTTTATTGTAACTGTGATATATTTTTGTTTTGTGCATCTGGCAACGTCGATGTATAATTAGTTTGTTTATGTTCTACATGTCTTCGCGCCTATCTTTGTGTTAACTAAGAAATATTTAGTGAAAGAATTGAAATCTTTGTGAAAGAATTAGAATGTGTCACTTAAGAGAATTAATACTTGACGGGCTTAATACTTTAATTTATTAACTGTTCTTTACTTTATTAACTGTTCCTATTTCAAGCAAGCCAACTTGCTTGAAATAGGATGGAAAGAACAGTTAATAAAGTAAACAAATGTTAAGTTTCAACAACCAATCAGGTTCGAGTTACCCATAATTACGTCATTTTCAGGCATCCCATTTATAGTCCTATTGCAGCCAATTAGAATTTATAAAACAAGTTTCCGGTTTCCACTTATCAACTTGACAAATGCTCAAATCTTAATGGACGGTATGGTAAGTTCGAATATACCGCTATAAGAGCAGATTTTATGATCATATTATCAACAAGTCAAAATTATAGTCAATGGAAATTTCGACAAGCAAACGTGATCATATTTCAACAAGGTTTCTATGTCCTAATGACAATATAAATTTTAATCATTGTCTGATTATCACAAGCAGAATTTATTGCCAAATTATCGCCAATGAATTCTGACCTTTTTCGGAATAATTAAACAAATATCATCTATTGCTATCAGTACCTGATGACAATACATATAAGCTGTAATCGTTTCCTGGACGCTACATACAAAATGAATCGTCAAAGACAATTTGACCATGATTTAAATTCCAATCACTTTCTGATTAACTAGCTTTCAAATCTCATCCATAGCTGTATGGGTGACAATGAAACTACCTGAAGACAATACAAGTTTTAATTGTTTCATCACAGTTATACAAAAAGGATTTAACGGTATAAGGAAAGTCAATCGTAGCAAGTTTCTATAAATAAAGTAATCAAAGTAATGAATAAATTTTTTTGCCCATTTCTACTATTTTTTGCAATTTTTTTTGAATTTATGTAGCATGTTAAGTTAGAGTAAATCACTATTAAAAAAAATATGCCTTAGATGATGCGAGGCACAATTAAAATATTTACAAAAGGAAGACTATTAACGAAAGGTCATTTAAATTTTATGTAAATTCATAAGATTTATATAACATGTTGGATTCAATAAATCATTATGAAGTAAAATATCCATTAGATGATGTGAGACACAATTAAAATGTTTATAGAAAGCAGCTACTTACAAACCTATGAGAAGACGTTTAAATTTAACTTACATTCATAAGAGTTAAAGATTTGTGTATCATGTTGAATTAGAGTAAATCACTATTAAAAAAAATATCTCTTAGATGATGTGAGACACAATTGAAATGTTTATAGAAGGCAGCTACTTACAAATCTATGAGAAGCCATTTAAATTTAACTTACATTCATAAGAGTTAAAGATTTGTGTAGCATGTTGAATTAAACTAAATCACTATTAAAAAAAATATCTCTTAAATGATGTGAGACACAATTGAAATGTTTATAGAAGGCAGCTACTTGCAAACCTATGAGAAGCCATTTAAATTTAACTTACATTCATAAGAGTTAAAGATTTGTGTAGCATGTTGAATTAGAGTAAATCACTATTTAAAAAAGATATCTCCTAGATGATGTGAGGCACAATTAAAATATTTACAAAATGAAGCTATTAACGAACCTATAAAAGGCCATTTTAATTTTATCTAAATTCATAGAGTTTGAAATTTTTATTACATATTTGGTTCTGGCAAATCATTATAAAGTAAAATATCTCTCAGATGATATGAGACAATTAAAATGTTTACAAAAGAGAGCTATAACGAACTTATGAGAGGCCATTTAAATTTTAC